TGGCTTGGATGTGACCCGCAGCGCTGGCTTGGGTTGACCGGGCACTCTGGCAGCCCAAAAGGCTGCGACGAGGCCAGAATTACCGAGGAAGGCTTCGGGGCCGGGGCAGCTCCCAGCCTTGCCGCTGGTCGGGCTTCACTTTTGCGTGTGGGCTGGTGAAGGAATTGTGGACAACGGCTTCGCTCCCCGCAAATGACTAAATGGGCCTCGAACGGGCGCGAGCCGCGTTGCCTGTAATGACATAACGCTTTGCTAATGGGCCTGTGGTTGGTTTGGCGTTGGTGCTGGGTGAGGGCGAGGAGTCCTCGGGGCCTCGCAACGCGGGGAGGAGGTGGTGGAGAGCTGGCAGTTGCGTCCTGGCAGGTTGGGAGCAGAGGAGGACGGTGTCGCTGCCCGGCTCTTCCCCCCAACCGGGGAGCTCGACCGTCACTGCTTGTTCTCCGGCATCGTGCAACTCCGCCGCGCTAATTAGGCAGCGTTTTAACAAAGGTTACTTCAAGGTGCCTGCTGCAGCAGCTCCCGTGGTTCGGGGACGACTTTGCTGCTTCCAGTTCGAGGATTCCCCTCCTGCTGACGAGGGCTGCGTTATTTGAACGATGCTTTGTGCTCCCGTGGAGAGAAAGGCCCGCGGCTCCCGAGCTGGTGGGATGCAGGGTGGGAGGCTGCGAGTTGGCGGAACAGTCCCTGCCGGCCCCGCTCTCGTCAGCGAGGACGTGTGGTTGGGGATGCTGGGATGCCCGGGATGCCCGTGGTCCGGGATGCTGGGAGGATTCAGGAGGATGGGGCCAGACTCTTTCCAGTGGTGCCCAGCGACAGGACAAGGGGCAACGGGCACAAACTGAAGCAGAGGAAGCTCCAGCTGAACCCGAGGAAGAACTTCTTCCCTCTGAGGGGGACGGAGACCTGGCCCAGGCCGCCGCCCAGGGAGGCTGTGGAGCCTCCTTCTCTGGAGATATTCCAGCCCCGCCTGGCCGCGGTGCTGTGCAGCCTGCTGTGGGTGACCCTGCTTGGGCAGGCGGTTGGGCTGGGTGACCCACAGAGGGCCCTGCCAACCCTGAACATTCTGTGATTCTGTGGATGCCCGTGGTCCGGGGTGCCGGGATGCCCATGCTCTCGTGAGCGGGTTAGGCGCAGGTTAGCTGAGCTGAGCTTGCTGGGAAGTGGCTCTTTGGCCTCAGCAGACGCTGCTTTTCTTCCCTTCTCCTCCCAGTTGCCCCAGTCGCCCAGTCTGGAGATGTGTAGTGCAGTGACTCGGTTTTCTGCCATGGTCTTTGCTAGACTTCATGCCACGCTGGCGGATGCTGTCTGCTGCTTTGCACCCATCTTCGCTGGTTGGCTGAAGGACGACGATGACGACCTTTCCTTCGCTCTGCTGAGAGCTGGAGGTTGTTAACTCCCAACCTGTGCTCCACCTTGGTGTAGGACGGGTCTGGTGTTCACCGCGAGTCGCTGCTGCGGTCGCTCGTGGCTGACGAGGTGGGCTCAGAGCAGCTTCTGGGTTCCTTCGTGGCTCTGCTTGCTGCTGAGCTCGCTCTGCGGGCTGGCGCTGAAGGGTGCTCCTTCGGTCGGCGGTGGGGGTTATCTAGTCCAGCTCTTCTTTTTCCTAAACATCCCCAAGAAGCAGAATTCCTGGCATTCGGAGCTGGTATTTGGTGTCCGCCTGCAGCAGCCGTGTGGAACCAAACCAGCTCCGTGATCTGGAATCAGTCGCTGGGCTCC